AGCGGTTTAGAATTTCGAGTTTAAAAGATTGAAAAGAGAATGGTCATATGTTCGAATAGTGAATTATGATCTCTATATATCTTGCATTATTTGCAAAAACATATTGTACAAAAAAGTGTGTATATATGATATTTCAGAATAGTAGAGCAAGACTAAATTGGACCTCAGAATATGGTTCTTTTACTGTTTACATATCGATGTGTAAATATGAAGAAGCAAGTGTATGAAAAATTCTACTTTAGAACTGTACAAATACAGTAAAAAAATAACTTTGACAACCGTTCTCTTTTCAGTCTTCTGCGAACAAAATTCGAAAACTGTTCTCTTTTCAATCCCGTTCTCTAAACGAGCGTGAGAAAAAATTTAATAATTCGCACTCCATTCTCCGTTCAGTTTATACACTGTTCTCTTTTCATATTTCTAAAAAAATTAATCAAAAAAAAAACATTCGATAATTGACCGTTAACAGTCAGTAATGATGCAAAAACGGCCATTACATGATACTATTAACTGCCTATTTTTGAACAGTTTTCAGTCTGTCAACAAAATGTCATCTTTAGGCATTAAAACGTTCCCAATTATAAGGTATAAAAATGACCAGTTAATGATTATTTCAGTACCTATTAATCGGCATTTAATCAAGGGGAAAACTGCGCACTTTAGACTTGACTGGACTTACGGAGACTTTACCGTACTTTAAAGTCCCGAAAGTCCGTTCAAGTCGGCGGACTTTGGGAACTTTAAAAGATCTGAGCCGACTTGGGAGGACTTGACGGAACTTACAGAGACTTTACTGAACTTTACCGGACTTTAAAGTCCACAAAGTCCGTCCCCCTTGCATTTAATAGACAATTAATTACACCGTTTTCGACGTTCTGAGTAGTGAAAAGATTGAACTCAAATATATATGCAGTCTCGAATGATCTACGACCAGAACATGATTTGAATACATATGAATACAATATTAAATAAGTATAAATTTATAAGAATAGGTATAAAAATGAGGTTAGAACTTTGTCATTACCGTTCCTATTTCATACAGTTATCAGTCGAGAATGATTGATGTAAATGTTTTGTTTATTTTGATAAAGATGTAACTTTATTATTATCATCAACATGAACACCTACAAATTTTGGATTTTGTGCATCATTGAGGCTGAATCCAGTCATTTTAGGTTTATATAATCGAGGTTCATATCCTAAAGTAAAAACATCTTCAATGAGTTTTATATCTTTTGGTTTAATTCATACAGACCTTCGTCTTTGAGTTTTTTAACAACGTCATCACCATTTGTATTAAGATAATGTGGCCACTGTGTAGACATGATGAGAACTTAACCAAATGAAAAGCAAAACTGATTATATATTTGTTACTCTATCTGAAGGAGCACTTTTGTGATGAAAGAATAAATGGTAATAAAATCGGTATACATGAAAGAAGAAAAAAGGAAAATATCGGATTAGTAATCAGTCACATTTTAACTAACATTAGGGACATGAAAACAACTTTTGAGTGAATCATCTGAAGGAAAATCAATGGCCAAAGACATGATAATGTTTCATTTTCACTGAATGAAAAGAATCGTTTTATACTTTGACACTTTTGTACTTTGGTTTCTTTTCTTTGATTGATATTATACCTGTCATTGTATTTTCGATTGAAGAAACGAGATTTGATAAGTAAGCTATATTTTACTTTTGTGCTTTCGACTTGCGCAGATTTTCTCTTTTCAAATGCATATTTCTTTTCCTTCTTATACGCAACCAAAACAAACGTATGTTAGAGAGAAAATCATGGATTGTGTAAATGGTGAAAAATTAGATGAAACGAAACCCATTGTGTATTGCTATACTAACATTATTATTAATGAGATATTTATCTTTTTGTTTCTCCTACTTGGCGTTCATATTATCATCATTTATGTCTATTTTCATCATAATTATTTAAAAGGAATACCTACAGTAGAGTCACACTGCAGAAAGACTATACTCTTTCCACGTTGTTTTCTATCAAAGGATATATTCCAGATATTGCGTGGAAATTCTGATACTGCCGAAAATGTTCCTAAGACGGCACATTAAATGTGTCAAAGATTTGTTAACGAAGAATAATTACGCTTATTGAATTTGCAAGCACAGAGTGACAGATTGTCTTTTTACTTGTTCCACTGACGTTCACTGCTATAATCGGGAAAATTGAGACCACTAAAATTAAAAATGGTTTTGTCACTCATAAAAATGATACAATTCATACTTATATTAAGCTGCAGTAATAATCTGTGGTAGGTACATAAATCCTATGTGTTCTCTATGTCTATACTTTCCACAAAAAATGCGATATTTTGAGTGTGTTTTGCCACTCGAAATCTAATAACTCAAGAGGCGGTTTACACAACAGACATAATTTTTTTGTAGTTTTGGCTCACCCTCCATTCATTTATTTGATTTAAATATTGGCATTATAGTTTTAGTTAGGCCTACACGATACATTATAATTAATGGACATCTACCAGCGCTTGAGTCATGGACACCTTGGCATCTAACATATATACTAACTCCCGAACATCCATCATTCTCTTGATGTTGTTTCATATCTTAAAAAGTTAATCCAAATACTTTACAAATACGTAGAGCTTGTTACATTCCCTTTATAAGTGCTCAATACCAAAGCATTCAGAGCATAATAATACTTTTACTGGAGCTATATATTCACCAACCCGGTAGCGAACATAATCGACTCGGCCAGCTAACTGTCACAGGTGTTATGTTGACCCGACTAGCTGAATTTCGATAAATTCAGATCCTTCAACAATAATCAAATATCCAGTGCATTTTATGCTGAATAAACGAAAATTTTCCTGGGAATGGGACAAAATCAGTGAGAATTCTCATTCTCACGCCTCTCGAGCTATAATCTTCTCGAATACGAAGGGACAAATAAAAAAACGGGACAACGGGATAAAATCAGTGAGAATTCTCATTCTCGGGCACAAGAGAACAAAATTAATCATGAGACAACCGGACAGAATGAAAGCATTAGAAACAACATCAACGATGGGACAAACAGGGATGAGAATTCTCATTCTCGAGTATTCGTCTTCACGAACTATTATCTTTTCGAGTACGAGGGGAAAAAATAAAAAGATGGGACAATGAGACAGAACGAACGCGAATGCTCATTCCCAAGCATTGCTTGTTTAAGTGGCATGGTTTTTAGATACTGTTTTAGGTTGGCGCTTTTCGTTAATCTGTATGCCTTTATTAGTATTTGGATTATATTAAATAAAATGTATATTTTAATAACGTTATCACTAGTGTGTTGCCTGACAAGTTTACCGTTTATAGGTTACAAGGTTTGCATACAACTTTAAAGTTGAATCAATGGAATTGAATGGTGGACATTTGCATGTCGGTTGAGAAGGAAGGTGGAAAAAGAGAGTACTGTTGTCTTAAATTCCATGAACTGCTCTTATTAATAAAAAAGTTAGAATTAGAGAAATGATGTTTATGTGAAACGATAATAGGAAATCATTCGATCAAAGCATATGTTGATTTTGAGTATTATTTGAAGGATAATGGGGACGTTTGTGAAGAAACAGCAGTGAAATGTGTATTAAAGCTACTTTATTTTATTGTCAAGTTTGTGCAACTTTTTTTGTTTAATTCAAATGAAGTTACATTGAATCAAAATGTTAGAGAGTTCATCGTGCTTGAATCATCGACAAATGCAAAAATAAGTTATCATTTTATTCATGGGAACCCATCTGTTATTTTCGCGACGAATTATATTTTTGGACGTTTACTGAAAATAGTATTAGGCTTCATGCTAGAAGCTGTTCTCAATCATAGTTCTAGTCGCTTTTCTTAATCAGACCATAATATTGATCAGTTTCGGCCACGCAATGAAAAGTTAAATTATATATCGAAACATGTATCTTATAAATCGGCTACGGATATTTAATGGCAGGATTTTGTATAAACTCATAATATTTATTCATTCAGCACAAATTATGCTATTTATTATGTTATTATTACAAATTATGTTATTTATTACAAAATTTTAAAAATGTATTATTCTAACGTTTCGAGTCACCGACTCATCATCGAGTGACCGACTCATTCTCCGATGATGAGTCGGTGATGCGACACGTTAGACTAATATATTTTTAAAATTTTGTAATAAACAAATAATTTCTGCTGAATAAATAAATATTATGATGTATCTTATAAATTATAAGTTTTGCAGCTAATCTAAACTTAATCATTTTCTATTTGGATATTTCGACTGATCATACAGTCATTGTCAACAATAAAACGCAACTTACAGAAATTAGAATGATGTACTACTATTTAAAGTGACTACAACTTTGACGCATATGTACCGAAAATAAAAGAATAGGATGAGAAGAGAATGTTTTTATTTCTTTTTCATTTCTTCTCGCACATATAAGAACAAACGCTCGAAACAACAGTAACATGTGAGTTGTAAAACACATCTTAACCAAAGACTATTGAGGGTGGAATAAGTCTATCATCGCTGTTTTTCATATTCTTGATATTATTTTCTAGACCGTCAGGATAGACATATAGAGGGATGGATGTATCTGCTTCGTTCAAAACAGGTTTTAGACATGTACTGCACCTTTAGCAAGGAACCGCTTAGCAGTAGCCAAACCAATACCCTTAGAACCACCCGTAATGAGAGCAATCTTCCCATCGAGTTTGCCCATTTTTTTTCTTCGCTTGTATTAGTAGTGACTGTTACGTGTTAACGATCGTTTTTAGAAGGACAGCTACTTGCTGTGCACTAATATACACTAATAAGCATACTTCAACATGCTGACTCTGTTCTTTTCCGTTCACCCATAGTATTTTGCTCGCATCATGTTGATTCTCTTTTTTTCATTCTCTGTGTATATTAGTGCACAACAAGTAGCTGTCTTTCTAAAAAACAATCGTTAATACGTGACAATCACTACTAATACAAGCGAAGAAAAAAAATGGGTAAACTCGATGGGAAGATTGCTCTCATTACGGGTGGTTCTGAGGGTATTGGTTTAGCTACTGCTAAGCGGTTTCTTGCTGAAGGCGCAGCGCATGTCTTCATTACTGGACGACGCAAAGAAGTGCTTGACGAAGCTGTGAAAAAACTGGGTGATAAAAATGTAACCGCAGTACAGGGTGACGCATCCAATATGGCTGATCTCGACAGGTTATACAGCTTGATTCAGAAGGAGAAGGGTCGTCTGGACATTCTTTTTGTCAATGCAGGTGGAGGAACATTCGCACCGCTCGGCTCGATCACTGAAGAACATTTTGACGATACTTTCAACCTCAATGTGAAAGGAGTGCTCTTCACCGTCCAAAAAGTCTTGCCAATATTCACCGATGGCGGATCGATCATTCTCAATGGATCTATCGTATCCGTTAAAGGACTCTTTGCTACGAGCATCTACAGTGCTGCGAAGGCAGCTCTTCGCTCTTTCGCGCGTTGCTGGACGGTGGACTTAAAAGAGCGCAAAATCCGCGTCAATGTTTTGAATCCAGGACCAATCGACACACCCTTATTCAGATCTCTAGGAAGCACCGAAAAAGAAAAGAGGGCATTTGTCGCTGGCATGGCAGCTGGCACTGTAATGAATCGCGTTGGCGAGCCTGATGAAATTGCCACAGCTGTCGTCTTTCTCGCTTCGGATGATAGTAGTTACGTGACGGGCATCGAACTTTTCGTCGATGGAGGCGCAGCACAAATTTAAGTCAATTGATTAGTGTATTTATATTTTTAATAAAACAAAATATCTCCAGTTTGAAGTGCGGGTCCAGCAGGCTCGTCTTAGGGGAAGTAAAAAAGCATTGCTCACAAAACGAAAAGGGGCTTGTATTTTTGCCACTAAGTTGGAATGAGCTTTTATCTTTACTGTTGCGTTGTGAATTTATTTGAATCCTATGAAATGAGTTTCAAAAAAAAGAATAAAATTCTTTTGAGGCCGGTTTTCGGAACCGGTTTTCAAGATCAAAACCTACTTTGAATCAAATATTTAAACATATTTTAATAGAGCTCTGTAAAGACAATTGTTTTGGGGCGCATATCACCGATAAAAAAAATTAAAATTTGTTTAGAGTTAAAGAAAAGTGCTTTTTCGTATTCAGCACACTTGATAACCTGGAAAATTTCCTATTTTTAGCGAGGGGTACGGCCAAAAAGTTAAAAATAATTTTCAAACAAATTGACGCAGAAAAATCCGCATGGTAAAATTATATGATTTTGAAAATTTTTCTTAACGTTTTGGCGGTACCCTTCGCTAAAAATAATCAAGTGTGCTGAATATATTTTTATGCCAGTAAACGCACAAAGCTACATTTTTGTTAAATAGATTACTAATCCGTCCGACAACCGCGACAGTTTGATTATTTGCTAGGGAATTTTATCAAAAAGACTCTGATTTTTAAAACTTAAATTGATTTTCTTTAATTTTCTTGTCAAACTCAGTGAACTCAACTAAGTCACTATAATGTTTATTAACGAGAATTTCACCACATATATGTAGTTCTCTAGAAAAATTTATTTTGTTTCTTTGCAGGATTCGTTTGTTAACTGGCGTAAATAAAATATATTCAAATTAATATCGTACATAGTGTGAAGCCAGTATGATAGCTTATCCACTGGAATAATGAGCTAATTTTCACATATGTGAGAGAGTTCAGCAGTCTGTTTAACTTTGTCACTTGGTCTAATACTAAATTCGGCTTCTGAGAGTCGGTAAAGGTTTGTCTCTGACCATTCCGTGTATTTCAGTGGAGTGCCTCTATTTACCCGAAGAAATTACACCAGTGCCTTTATTTACCCCAAAGCATAAAAAGAAAAAAAAAAATTCTGGTGCTGTTGATTATATGCTAATTAGCTTAATGAGTTTAAATGATAATGAGCTCAAAACTATATGGTAGAGAGAGGAAGATCTGAGCTACAAAATGAGGTATTTTTGAACTAATTATCTCCTAAGCTTAGTTAACCAGCAATTGTACATTAAAACTCCATGTATTTGAATGGAGTGCCTCTATTTACCCCAAGCGTATAAGTGAGGTGCCTCTAATTACCTCGTACGGAGTAATTAGAGGCACTTTGATGGAGCTCTTCGTATTTTGGATCTGGCTCAAAATTGGCCGAAGTTTTTGGAAAGATTTTTAGATGAGCGTGTAGAAAAATGTTTGGTTTACCATCATGTTCAATAGCAACTTTTTCCGATCAAAAACGGCCAAGAAATAGCTAAAAAAGGACGAAACTTTCGAAGAGTGCCTCTAATTACCCCGAAGTACTCTATATTAAGGAAAGAAGTTTGAACGTAGCGAGGATTAAGCTATTTTTTTCATCATGATCAAAAGAATAAGAAAACATAAGAAACTATATAGAATATGTAAGATCTTTTCTCTACAAATTAGCTGTTTGATAGACTAGTATATCTTCTATACATTCAGTGATCGGGTTATTTTTGCACAATAAGATAAATGTATTAAAAAATGATAGTGAGCAGAAAAAAATATTTACACAAATAATTTTTCGTTCACCTCAATGGCATAATCACAACATTATCGAACCAATACACCTCCCCAGAATAGAAGACCACTAGTCTTCTACTGTGTCCGCCAAAAAAATCGAAAAAACGTAAAATAATGTTCTATACCTATTTTCAAAGAAATGTCGCCGAAGTGGTCTTCTGTTTCGGGGTGATCTTCTAATACAGAGTGGTCTCTGTTCTGAGGGAAGATTTACATATCACTTAATATACTGCACAAAAGAAGAAAAAATTCGCATGTGCAAATTATCGCTAATCTCATCAACGTGGACAGGAATTTTCGACTCCTTATTATTTTCGTTTAGCAAATCAAAAATTTCAACTTTGGGTAACACCAGCATCAAGCGATTTTTGAATTCTCAAATTTTTTACTTAGTCTTTGCTTGGCGTTCTTATTAGGAAAAATGTATCTAATCAGAGCAGAGCTAATCAAACTACTACTGATTACTCCTTTGTTTTAACTACATACATCTATGCTTATTGACTCTATGGATTTCAAACCTTCATTATCGATTAATGTTTAATGGTGTTTTGCGTTTAAATTCGTTTCGTCTTGATCAAAATAAATAAAAAAATGCTACTATTTATTGTAAATGTTGATAATGAATAGATTAAATTTTAAATGTTGAGTTTTTTTTACAAAAATTTCGTATTTCTGAGGGAGGAGCCTTAAATTTTATTGAGGCTATGCACTCCACATCTAATAGTCATGATACCAGTTGTTCTGTTGACCGAATCAATCTTTCTTTATGACTCTAATAGACTTTAATCGAGAGAGCCTTTAATTTCTCTTCAAGACTCGATAAAATACTTGAATACAGTATTTACGCTTCCTCTATGGCAATAAACCGTTATTCTCAATAATGACAACTCAATAAGTGATAAACATTATACGAAAGATTGAAAAATCGACTTTTTTAGCGCTTGAAGTTTCAAAGTGAAGTGCATAGGTCGATTAAGAAATTATTTTACGGCAAAGAAAAACTCCGCAACTTAAAAGATCCATTCTTATTAAGCACATTTACTCTATAGAAGACTGGCCTTTAGCTTTGAACATAGTGCAAAAGTTCAACTTTTACGGGAAGAATGAGCTTCAATCTTTTCTATGCTTGAATGTTTAATTAAGAATTCCAATCCGTCATCCATTGATTATTCTTCACAATAGTGATCTTGTAAAAAGAAGAGAATCGATGCCGACAAGAACCTAGAACGTAATTAATAGAAATATGGTCACAAGCTTTTGCACCAGATTCTTCAAAATCACTATAATTATTCTACATTTAGTTTTGGATTATATTTGTGATCATTAAAGTTTCAATTTTCCTACTTCTGTCAATGGTGATCTACATACAATCGTCGATTTCATCATATGACACATATAACAAGAGAGAACTTAGGAAAACAATAAAAATTTTCTATGCTAAAAATCAAATCTACTATTTCATACATTTATACACCTATTAGTTATTGGCGCCTATTGTAAAAATTTTCGTCTTTTCATTTATCACTGCTGACAACTCAACCGATGCATATTTATCACCAAGGTACTAAAAATGCCAAGCAGTGATGCACAAAGATTTTTCATAGGGTAATTAACAAAAGTTAATTTGTTATCGAAAAGCTGGCATTGCCTTAAACAAAAAAACTCTTCAGGTAAAAGAAACCTGTGAACATTTTCTACAGTATGTGGATTGTTGAATAAGGGTAGATCTGTGTAGAAAAATAAGTGAATATTTTATTATTTGATTGTCAAATTTTTTCTTATGTCAATGTAGTCTGCGTGATTTTTTCCTATGTTTTATCTTTCTCAACGATTGTTTGTTCAGGGATGAAGTGATAGATCATCATCGCTGCGCAGAAAAATTTACATTGATTAAACCAGTGTTATTGACTTAATTGTAAGCTGTAATAAATAACAGAAAAGAAAAAAGGCTGCCATGAAGAAAAAAAATGCAACGGTTAAGCAATAATGCTCACAAGGGAACATTCCCAAGTGAGACACTCCGATTTTGTTCAAACCTGGCAATTTATACGTAATCAAGGGCGCTGATTTTCCGCAGGTTTTCCAGAAACCCCCTGGAACCCTACCAATGTTGTATCAACATGTTGGGATCGTAACTTGAAATTTTGCATCAAAATGATACGCTTCCCAGCTCTCCAAGACCTGTCTTTGCAAGGTTACAGAATTTATAAGAGAAGCCCTAAATTAATTTTCCTTTTTCTTCCTGTATCTTTGAGCTGATAACGAACATTTAGGGCTTCTCTTGTAAATTCTGTAACTTTGCAAAGACAGGTCTTGGAGAGCTGGGAAGTGTATCATTTTGATGCAAAAATTTCATATTGATAAAACATTGGTAGGGCTCCAGGGGGTTTCTAGGAAACCGGTTCTCCAGATAAATGCTGGGAAAGGTCTATGGGCACAAACGGTCATCATATTCGTAATCAGCGCTCTTGATTACATATAAATTTTCAGGTTTGAACAAAATCGGAGTGCCTTACTTGGGAATGTTCTCTAGTCAATGATCTTCAGATATATTTGTTCTTCTACATTTTTAGTTTTTTTCTACTCTGTAGTGACATTTTTCCATGAAAAAGCATTCAATTTATGAAAGGTCTTAAGGGCGGAACTTTCTTGTTTTCCCGTTCATTCTGCTGCTTGTGGTGGCATGGGCTCTTCCATAAACTGACTACTGTTTCATGAAAAAATGTCACAGAGGGCTCGAAGACTTATCATTTTGTTCACAAATGTTTGCGCTATATGATGGAGTTCTTGTGAAGAATTTCTAGATCGAACTCGCGGACTTGGATTCTGTGATTTTAGTTTTTCAAGACATAACTTTCATAAGTTTCGGTGGAACTTTTATATACATCACATCAACTGGAAATTCTTCTAGCTGTTCAAATCGTTTTACAACTTTGTTCTAGCAACTATGGTCGACGAGAAAAATGAAAAATAAAGGTGGCTCAATAATTTTTGGATCCACTGTATTTGAGTTGTTGGTTTTTTCTAAACTGCTTATCTCCTACATCTTTTTTTTAAACTGGAATTTTTTAAGAGCGATAATTTTTCACAATAGTTGAAAAGCAGATGAAGACAAATCATGGATATCTGGAATCGATCTGTCTGCCCAACAGACGCAAGAATAGCATCATGGACTAAAAGAAAATCTTCTTTACGAAGGGATTTTATTCTATCATCAATATGATCTAGAGAAATGTGATCAACATCTAGCAAACCAGCTAACAGATCAAATAATTTTCCTCTATGTTCACTATGTAGGTCACAATTCACGAGAGAATACTTAACAGTTGTCTACTTTTAAGTGTGCAGCTCGGAGGCTGCAGTAATTGTGTATTATATGGCACATTGTTTAACTACGAAAAATCCACATGACAACGAGTAAATCAATCCCAAGTTCACGCTCTTCGTTAGATAGTGCTTTTAGTCTCAAGGTACAATCGAATTGTAATTTGAATTGAAACCTTCTTGGTTTGTGAACTGCTCTCATACTAGTCGATAAGAGATGCCATAAACGTAATCCATCACAAATAAATGATTTTTCTCAAGATATTTCGATCTCTAACCACTATGCGTATATCACTTCTTTCGATGCTACTTGTCATATACGAGGTTCGGCTGCTAGAAGAAGGTCTTGCATTCAAATATTTTTTCCTCTATTTTATCCTTTATCGAGTGAGATCTATAAATAATTAATCGATTGAACTCACTGAAAATAATATAAGATTAAATTCAAAAACGCCTCTGAATAAAAATTCATTTGAAATTTTTTTTATGAACGTTTGTTGAACGATTTATCAGCTTCAAATTTTTTATATTCTTTCTTATCATAAGCTTGCGAATAAAATTTTATACATTGTATCACCTCTTTGTGAAACTCCTTCTACATCGCCGAAACAAAGAGGAATTGAAGTTTATACTAGAATTCCTTTATTTTGGCCAATTTTTAAATCTCCGCTCTCCCAACTGGTAGTTACCTCGTCTTAAACTATTCAACAACTTTTGATGGTTTTGATCATTTTAGCCCCCTGAGCGGTGCCCTTATAATGTCTTTTATTGTTGATAGAAGGAAAAGGACCTGTTTTTTTCCTTCTCATCATATAAAAACAATAATTTCAGCCATATATCATGTTCCTATTTACCAAACATACTCGCTGTATGTAGTTGAGAAAAATAAAATGAAGAATGTATTGAAAAAGAACATTTATTATCTTTAGCATGTATAGATTAATAAAAATAATGCAATCAATGCAAGGAGGTAATAGTATGACAACTTTTAGTTGATTTACTGTTTTTTCGATTAGAGTGAACAAAAGAGAATACGAAAAGATCACTATTTAATGAAATTGAGAATCGTTTGCTGCCTCAAATTAAACCTAGTAATGTGTCAGGGGAAAAGAATGAGATAATCTTTTAAACAAATGACACGCTTTAAACTGAACGCTGATTTTCCTGTAAATACGTTTAGATAGTTTGGTACTTACACAAATATCATCGCAGACGTTAGAAAGTAGCGGATAGTAACGTATCACCGAAACAAAAAAGATAAAGTTGGTTTTGCATTGCTGAAAAGTGCTTTTTCGTATCCAGCAGATTCGATAACCCCAAAGATTTTCTATTTTTGGTGATGGATACTTCCAAAAGTTTAGAAAAAATTTTGAAACAAAATGACCTAAAAACTTTCCATACGAAAATAATATTAGTTTGAAAAATTTTCCTAAACTGTTGGAAGTACCCATCACCAAAAATAGAAAATCTTTGGGGTTATCGGATGTGTTGGATACGAAAAAGCACTTCTCAGCAACTCAAAACCTACTTTATCTTTCTTCCGGTGCGAAAACTCCTTCGAACAATCTTTAAAGAAAGAATGGAATTGACAGGTTGCACGCTAGAAATACATTTATTACGGGTCGCACAGTGAAGCATGCTGGATCTAAGCTGAGACCATCGAGGAGTTAATGGATGTCGTATCGATGTAGAAACGTCGACCACTTGACGTAGATGCATGTGCCGTCTTTCCTCTATCAAATATTCCACAGTTCAATAAACGTTTTTCTAAAAATCGATGGTCAGTCGTTTTTGCTTACTAAAACACTATCTTTATCAGGAAAAGCCAGATTCTAAATCTGTAATATTTTGTGAGGCGGACGTTCATTACTATTGACCTTTCTGGGGAAAAAAGCAGAAAAGTCACACAGATCAATTAGTTGATCTTCTGAACAATTACATCTATGGATGCAATTTTACTCAATCCAAATACTCAATTTTACATATCTGATAAGCATGAACTTCTAAACTGTCCTTGTTTTCGTATAGTGTCCAATTAATTATAGTTAATTAATTAATGTTAGTTACAACAAACACAATACACTTTGATCACAATTTTTTGTTTAGATTTAAGTAATTTTCGGAAGGGATTCATACTTTTGCTATTATTCATTATAATTATTTTATTGTACCTTCAAAAAGATTGTGGATGGCAAAGAATAGTAGTAAGACCACAATCAATCCCTCTTACAACGGAAAGAATTCTTACAAAAATGATTGTTGTTTCTCACTGGCAAGAAGATATCGATTGGTTGGAATTATATTTGGGCCATATCGCACACATTGTATATACAAGAACAAATTCATTAGCTACAAATAATCTAGCTGTAAATAAAGGTCGAGAAGCTGTTGTTTACTTAAAATATATTGTTGACAATTACGAAAATTTAGCGGATGTCACAGCATTTGTTCATGGGCATCGTACATCTTGGCATCAGAGATCTCCAGATGATATTGTTATTGCATTACGTGCATTAAAATGGGGAAAATATGATTATATGCCGTTAACATGTGTGATGACTCATACTCAGTTTCGCTTAAATAGTGGTGATCATCAATGGACAGTGAATTATCAGTTATGGAATGATGTGTTAAAACAAGAACTAGGTGAACAACCTAGAGTACAAGTAAATACACATTGTTGTGCTTCATTCGCAGTCAAAAAAGAAAAAATTCTATCTCACCCAAAATCATTTTATCAAAATATACATGATTACATATTGAACAGTAAAGAATCAGACGGTAAAACGGGACGAACCCTGGAATATTCATGGCATATTCTCTTCCGACAGCCTCATTCAATTAGATATGCAATGTGTGATTTATTCTATTGCAATGAGAGAGGACAAATATCAATTGAATTAGCTGAATCAAAGGCAACAAAGACAACTATCGTCCCTACCACCACAAGAACAAGTACGCGTACAATCAGTACAAATACAACTAGTCAAACATTCTTGGATATAACCAGTACTCACTTGTCTGCCTATCGCTTCCGTTAAACGTAGCCACCAGAAACATCCAATTCTCTCTATCTAGTACGAATACACCATTTGTTTCTACAACTACTGCTGTTGTCGTTGATGTGTTAGATGATGAAGCTGGCACTAAACGAGAGAAGAAGACAAAACAGTGAAATACAACTCAGAAGACACTAGGTCATTCGTGTCCTGTCCGTCCACCCGTCTGTAGCGGGACAGTGTAATAGAAAAAGCAAAGCAGCCGTTTAGCCCTCAAAATCTCTTTGAACTTAAAACTTCGTTTTTTCTTCGAACGAAGGAAAGGCGCGAAAGTTTTTACTAACAAGCCGGTACAAACTGGTAGCTTTTAAGTTAGTCTGTCAGCGTTCTTCATATCTGTTAAGAAACCGCTGACCTATCCAAATGACTTCTGCTCTTTCCTTCTTCTTTTTCTGCATTTTCTTCAATCAATGTATCTGTGAATCTCTAATTTTCTTGCTTTTTTTCTGTTTCTTTTGTATTTTACCTATTGATTTACCTACTCTCCATTCACTTTATTTACTCCCTACGCACAACAAACGTTCATACACAACAGGCTTCGCTAGTGTTTGCTCTTGTTCTGTTCTTTTCAAATAAATAGTTTAAAACAACCACAAAAAATCTCCTCAGCTAAAACGAAATTAACATTATGGAGAGTGGATGAATGAATCAATTTTATTTTTGCAAAAGAACATATGGAAATTACAAGAAAGCTAGAGCTTGTTTGAATGTAACACCAGATGATTGGTCTGATATCAACATTTTGTAACCCGTGAAATTCTCTATCCAATGAAATATAGAGTGGAGTGGTTAACGGGAAAACTAGTCTTGATTTTAATTTTTAAATTAGTCTTATGATTATATCGCGCTCTTTTGCTCAACAACTCGTTCCTCTTAGCGAAGAAATCCCTCAAAACACTTTGATCTATATATTTTGTGACAACCGATCGCAACATGAAGGATGAACAAAACAGTGCAGAAAAGTGAAAGGACTCAAATTGAATCTATTTGTGAGTTATGAATTTTTCTTGGAACGTGCATTTCTTCAGTATAACAAAAGACGTCGATGCTTTCCGAGAAAAATTCATAACTCATTGAAGAAAGGTCGCACCGAGTCGTACAACATCTCATTCTGACGAGAAAAGTCTGCTCTATTCTGTTGAATGATCGAAAATGACTTTGAACTGACTTTAAAAAATTTGAAAATTTAAGGCTTTTAAATTTTTAAAATTTCATCTTTTTTAAACCTGTTAAAGTTAAATGAAAATTTGTCTTCTTACATTCTTAGATACTTCGAGGTGTCCTCTAGGTACTCAATCAATTAGTGAATTTTTTAATATTCGGTGAAAACAGGCCAAAAACCTTAATTTTCGTAAAACTGGCTTTTCGGAAGATTTTTGGAACTTTTTCCAAAAACAAATATTGCCACAGCACTCAGAATGGTCAGTTATCCATAGTCCATCCGTCGTTAAGGCTACTAAGAGTCAAGGGGTGAAAACTGAATACCACAGGTCGCTGTCTATCAAGTTGACGGAGTTATTCAAGAAACAAGCACAAGCCTTTTATTTTGAAACCGATAATAGTTGCAGAACGTAAACTCCAACGTCGAGCGTTATACTCCTTTCGTTTTGTCCTATACGTATCGTCCTCCGTTCTCTTTTTATGAGCGTTGAAATTTGACTGAAGCGAAAAAAATGAAACAGAACAAAAAGAAATGTTTTCGTTCTTTAGACGAAAAGAAAGTTTGAGAATATTCAAAAAGGTGCAACATGTAACAGTCAGATAAGAAAAACGTGTTCTGATTATTGCTTCAAAGAATAATAGAACAAAATAAATTATTTCGACGTACAACTTTATGAATGTGGATAAAATAATCAACAGTGACGATGACGATTAAGATTTTATTGCCAAAATAGTTTTTCACCGTATAACGAACAGACTTTTAAAAAGCTATATAGAACAACACAAGGGAAACTACGCATTACACTTCAAGTCATACACGTTGGAAGAGTGATTAGTAAAAGTGTTCATGGATAAAGCTCAACCTGTATCACACAAAATCGCGAGAAGGATTGAATCTGAAGGTTTATCATCGGATAGCATAATTTTTTGTAAAGATGGTGTTTGGATGACATACAAAGAAGAGGAATCAATCGGGCTTGTGCATACATCCATCGTGTACGATGCGGCATCAGTCAGAGTTACAAATGAACTCGCACAATCAGCTCAACCTCTGGAAAGACTTGGTCCTTTTGGTAAAATTATATTCTAGGCTAACAATAGTTTCTTGAACAGATAATTTTTTCCTTTACTAAAGGTACTCAATCTGCTCAAATTCAAATTGCGATAGTGCAAGGAACAGGCATGTATCAAACTTCATTTACTGGCAAGTTAGAAAAATTGAACAGATTCGACAATCTTCAACATGCCGGACAGCACGCTCCGTTAACCTCAGTAACGCTCGAAAACAAAGCAAGAGAATCGGCTAATATTCCTCTAGATGCTACGCACTTCTGTTGGCTATATAAAGTCATTCATTTAGAACACCAAATTATACATGCTGTTTATTCGTTGGAATACAGCCTATTTTAAATATCCATTACAGACATCTTAAAGGAATATCGCTTTCCACCTGCCGGCTTCACTCAACTCAAGGAAAGAGAAAAGGCGATTGTTGAAAAAGAAGTGGCTGCAGGAAATCCAGAGTATACATTTTTAGCATTGGGTGGGTTCGTATATTTCAAATATGAAAATCATCAGTATCGCACTTTAAGAACAAACGCTTTGGTTCAAGCTGATAATGGGCTAGTATTTGAGGGGCCAGTTCAATGGAAATCGGAGTTTACTGGAAATTTATGGAAACAAGGTCGATTTCAAGTAAAACAAGATATATTTTTTCTATTGATATCTACCTGCCTATTTTGTCATTCAGAATATCACAATTTCGACATTTGCTGAAATGGGTATCAAATTCTATTGTTTTTTGAATCCTGGTGAAATACTGAAAGCTGACAACGGCATCGAATGGATGGTAGCAGCCAATGGAGCATTTGTATATCTTTATGATGAAAATGGATATAGGCATAAGCTAGATAGATATTTTACGGTTGCTGATAGACCTAAGTCAAACGTCACTACGAACATTATGCCTTTTTCACTTGTAAAGGGCAGAACGAAATCGCAAAATCTCAGTAGAACAAGTAGTGAGCGACAGAATGACTCAAAATTTATGTGTACAATATGTCTGGAAAATACAGTTACATGTATTTTTGTGCCTTGTAAACATATGTGTACATGTTCAAATTGTGCATTGAAAGTGAAACAAGAAATGAACAGTGTTTGCCCTTTATGTCGGCAAACATTTAACGAGGTGTGGAACGTATTTCTGTAATTATTAAGTTTTTTTACACCATGTCGATGAACAAGCCTTTGTCAAAATAAAGATAGATTTTTTCTCGTGTTTTGTAAGTGTAAAATTGCGAGTATAGTGTTCACAGTGGACAACGATCAGGACATTTGGTCAAAAATCGAAAATGCCCTTTTTTTCTAACTTGAATAAGAGTAAATATACTTTAAGCTATAGTATATTCAACGGTACACTCGAGAAGATCTCAAGCTTTCATAGTATTTGATCAAAATATTGCTTACTTGACGAACTAATCCATGTAATTAATGGATTATAAAATATTAGCCCAGTGCGATATGATTTATACAATTTTTAGTGGAAAAGCGATCCTTACGTTTATTTATTCTCGATGGCAAAGAGAAAGGGCACAGACAAAAGCTGGAGGCTTATAAACGCCTACCCCATAGCACACAAATGCACATACAAAACTAAAAATAAAAATTACAAGCTGCAAAAGACTAGTCCTCCGAAGAACTGTTGTATTTTTAAAATAAATAAATTGAAAGAAGAAAGTGTCACAGCATCGAGCGTTAAGCTGTTCCAGTCTTTTATTGTCCGACTTAAGAAACTATGACGCATGATCAATGTAGAAAATTAGATCTTCAATTTGAAACGTATGTTTGCGAGGAGAATGCCGTGTTATGGAAAACAGGGATAAAGGAAAAACGTGCCACAGCCGTGCATCCCATCAAGGTTTTCCAGAAATATTTCAATCGAGCAAGTTTTCTCCGTCGCATCAAGCATTCGAGTGGGCAATTTTCTGCAACTTCTGAAGAAGGAGAGACAAAGTCACCACTTATGCTACGAGCAGCAAGACGTTGGAGTGTATTTAAGGGCTCCAAATAGGTAGAATATGAACTTTCGTAGACAATTGCTCCATACTCAAAGACAGGTCCATGGGCAACGCTGTCTTATGATGCGGACATGTGTTATAATAAACGCAGAGGGTAAAGCAGTAATAAATAATCGAGAATATAAGAAATATAACACTGCGAAGATGATGTTAGAAAGACATCGAAAGCTCGCTAACGAATAAAAGTGTTTTGTTCAAAATGATTTTCATAGCAGTGTTATATTTCTTATATTCTCGATGTGTTATAACTGCTGAAAAAAGCATTTGAAGACTTAGAAAGACACTTTTTCTATGTTCTCTTTTTAATGGTTTACTTACAAAAATTTAAAAGTGCTTTCTTTCCGGTTTCCTATAAAACTACATCGTCTTGCCTTGGTGCTTTGGAGATCTGGTGTCTGTGAAACAAAGTCATACAAAAACTCTCATAGATTGCGAAAATGAAGTTTTTTATAGGCTTTCTGGCATGTTCTCTTGAATGGTACAGTTGAAAACATTTTAAAGTGTTTTCTTGGCGTTTTCATAAACCCAATTTTGTGTCTAACCTCCACTCCTTGGTTGCGGACTGCCTTTTCTTGATACATCAGTGTACTCTATAAAAAAGGTTTTTTGGCTCCGGTACCGCGGACGCCTGAGCTAAATGTTTTCTTTAAGAACATCATTTGTTTATACATCATTTGGGTGCAATTTTACAAGCCAGAGATATGCATTTTCTTTTCATGTTTTGTCTATCCAACTATGCCTCTTTCTCAGTCGTATGAAAATTCATCGTCCAGTTCCTTCTGTTTTCGAAATAACCCTTCTTTTTATCTTAAAAAACTCTTTGTCTTGGTTCAGTAACTTTCATAAAAATATTTTTATCGACTTAGTTTTATAGAGCAAACATTTTTCTACAAATTGCTCTATGGCACAACTCTTTCTTTTTTTCTTTCTCCTACAATCGATTCTGGACAAAAGACCAAAAACTGGCATTAACGGATACCGGTATCAATATCGGCCAAAGGACGCTTAGCAAACATCTTTTATCTGAGTGCTGATTCAAACTGGAAGGTGCTATTATACCTCATTTTGTAAAGAAATGTTTGCTCAACAAAATTAGGCCACCAAAAACTTTTTAAAAGATCATTTTACGGTATGAAAAGCTTTTTCATAAAAAAAACGCGAAATAACAACGGTAAAAAGTTTCGAGGCGCATTTTGTCTACAAACTAATAATTCACTACGTTCGTTCTTCATTCGTGTGAACATCGTTACATTAATTTTGAATGATAATAGTCTCCAGCTTTATACAAATGTTGTTCCGGTCTACTTCTGTATGACAGAAATGGTTTATAATAAAATTTATTAAAATAGATTTAGAAATGACTAATGATTAATCAATGGATTAATCTTGGTAATTGATTTAAAACAACGGATACGCAAAGAAGTATATAGTCAACAACGGCCAAAAGCATCTTGTATTTTGACTGAAAACGTTTTGAAGAGTATTCAATTAATTAACTGCTACATCATTTACAGAACCCTCCTTATATGTAACATCACTCGAGGCTTCTTAATTGACATTTCATAATTAGGGGCTCTCTCCCCTCAAAAATTATCTCCGACACCGTACATCCGATCTTGACGAAACTTTTCATAAATGTTAGGCATAACGAGTTATGGGAATGAAAAAATTTTTTTGTCTCCAAGTCTTACGATTTAGGACTTTTCCAGAGATGAAGGTCCAAAAAGGACCCTGAAGTGCGTCCCAAGATTTTTTAATATACTTCAAGTTGGAGAGTTCGGGTTGGTTTTATTTTAAACTAGACACCTAACTACATGCTCTAACATGCGCCTATTTTTCAATTAAGCCTTTATTAGTTTTCCAGGCAACCAACAACCGCCAAAACCCGAAAAATCCACAGTTTGACAAAAAACTAAGCTCTAATTCAAAAATCGACACCAGTCAGTCCATGTAGTTTCTTTTCCTTCTTTAAACAAAAAAAGAATAAACTCTCTGCGACAAACCGCTATCAAAAATCTTGTGACACACTTTAGGCGGAACTCTATATAGAGAAAACGCTGTATAAAATACACAATTTTAGGACTTCTAGGAAAATGCCTGTCATTTTTTAATGCAAGGTCATAAAGAGTTGTGCGAGATCTTATTTTTATCAGAAACGTTTGCTCTACAAATCTATGTGTACAGAAAGATCTTGATTGCTATCTTTCCATGTGCGTATCTCAAAACCGATTTTTTTTTGACCGAAAATCATCATTTCTGAGGGGGGGGGAGGCCCTTAAAGAAATAAAAATGATTTCAGAAATGGCGTATTCTATCAATTTTAAAAAGTGATCTCAGTTTGAAAAACGAGCTTGTAGCTCTTATTTTAATAAAATATAGATTCCGAAACTGTATATAATAAAACTTGTATATAATACATAGAGCGAAGTGGAAACTTTGTAGCTTCCACTTTATTAAAATTTGAATTTATAAACTAGTTATTAGTGCATTTAATAATACCTGATACGACACCTCTTCCTTATTAGGTAATGCAGCATAAACAGCTGACTTTATTTATTTTAGTATTTTTTTTAGTTTATGATTCTGAAAATGATTTTCTATGTATATCGCGTTTTAATACTCATTATTATTAGTGATATATCACGTGTACAACCTACACCTTCTCCCTGTGCAAATAAATTAGCAGATTACGTACCATCTATCTTAATTGAAAATCTTATTCAATCCTCAAAAACACAACGTGACCAATCCAAAAGTCTGGTAGATAACCATCACGACAAAATTAAAACTCATGTGGAGGAAACTGTTAAATTAATTGATAATCATCGTGAACGAATTGACAATCGTTCAAAACAATTAGATAAACACAAGAATAGTCTAAAGTTTGTCTATCCCGTCTTTTCATTGGTACTGGTAGTGTTGATTCTATTATTAATCGTTATCCTGATCGGTATTTCGAAAAAGTGGTTTATTTGTAAACCAAAACGTGGTGCTACGTCAAACTCTTTATCGTTTTTAGCAAGACCTGGTACAACCAATGAACGTGTTGCTAAACAAGAGATTTCAACCATTGACAATTTTACATTGTCAAATGCCATAGCTGCTGTGCTCGCTGAAAAACTGTCTTAATTTATGTATTTTCCGTCTGTTCATTTTTTTCCCCTCGCTTTGATTTTTACTATTAGTCTTTTTCTTTTATAATTATATATACATTGAAGGTCGATAATGGGGTTCGCCGCTGACCTTGTTTGCTTGAGAATCAATAAAGACATAAAACAACTGACTTCATACTAAATTCATCCCATACCGTAGCTTTGATAAAATAGTTTGGTGGCGTTCTTAATGTATCATCTGCATTCCAATGTGATTTAGCACTGAGAATTTGCAGTGATGCTGGTGTTGCAAAATCCAAAACTGGATAAGGGACTGGATTGTTACAAACTAAAACACATTTAAAGTTCATACACGAAAAAACTTTTGTTTAACGTAGATATTTTAATACAATGTGTTAGACTTTCACTTCACTCTGTGTATTATATACAGTTAAGGAATCTATATTTTATTAAAACAGGAGCTAAAAGCTCGTCTTCCAAACTGAGATTACTTTTCAAAATTGATAGAATATGCCGTTTCCAAACTGAGATCATTTTTATTACTTGAATTATAAAAAGTGATCTCAATTAAGAATGAGTCAACACCATCATATATGCCCAACAAATTTCTATGTTAGCGACTTCATCGATTGATTCTCAGCACTTCTTTTCCAATATTAAATAATTTTTCTACGGTTGCTTACTTGTTCATTAACCCTGATCCGTCCACAGTGTGGACACCAGACGAAAACGAGTGCTTTGAAGATATGTCTTGCTGCTCTGATAGATAAATAATGAATGGATGCAATCGGTTCATATTGATAGTACATCCTATTATCATTCAGTGGAATATAAAGTGAAGCAGTAAAAATCTAACCGTTGTGTTCAGGCAGTATTCAAATGAAACCGGTAGAATTTGGACATATTATAGGTGGTCGAATCAGGGTTAAAGTTTTCTTTTTTCATTAATAGCTCTTGGCCATTATTGATTGACAAAAACACCTTCTTGATATAGTTTTAATGTTTACACTGAACCATGGTATGTCTATATTCAAAGATTAACTAACTGTGCTATGCGTATATAACTGCTTTTATTCAGCAAATGATATAGGGGCTAGAAGGGCATCTAAGTCAAGGACAAGTATATGTTCAAATTGGTTCTCGAAGTGGTAGTTTTTACTCACATTTTATATATATTTTATATTTATACTAAAAAAAAATATACAGAAAAAAAAATGAGTATCGTTATATTAATAGATTATTGCCACTATAACCATTTTTTTCCCAGTATATAGTCAAGAAAGTAATGAGGTAAATTTAGCATAATAGGTAAGAAAGCCACATCATTACCAGCCATATATCGCTCTAATGGTTTAGCTTCTAATATAGCTGATTGTATTGCATCACTACATATGGACACATGACCACGAGCTGCTGAATCACCACTTTTATCCATTGAAGATTGATAAGAATTAAATATTGATTGATCAATTTTATTTATATTATTTATTGATTTCATATTCTCTTTAATTATATTTTCACTTACATTCGTAAACTTTGATTCAATTCGACCAGGCTCAATAATACTAACTGAAATAGACCATTTTTTTAATTCAATTCTTAATGCATCTGCTAATGCTTCTAATGCAAATTTTGAACCAGCGTATGCTCCATAACTTGGCATACTGATACGACCTAATCCTGAACTAATAAATATAATACGTGCACTATGCTCTAATGATGATGCTTGTCTGAGTAATGGTAACAATGCTTGAATTATGCCAACGTGACCAAAAAGATTGACTTCAAATTGATAACGTAATTTATCTAATGGTAATATTTCTACAGGTAGTATTTCTCCGTAACCAGCATTATTAACAATGGCTAATAATTTACTATTATTATTTGAAAGATGTTGTGTTATTGTTTCAACTGATTGTTTTATTTCATCAGATTTTGTTATATCAAGAATAACTGGTATGATACGACTAGCATTTGAACTTCCGGCTAGTTCTTTTATTTTTTCACCATCGCTTTTTTTACGCACACCAGCAAAGACAGTAAAACCAATTTTCGATAATCTTAATACAGCATCTAAACCAATACCTGCACTACTTCCAGTAACTAATACACAACTTTTAGATGGTACTGGTAATTGTTTACGAAATAAAAATTTATTCAATAAAAATGAACTAAAGTAAGCAATTACTAATGCTATAATTAAACCAAACCATGCTCCAGTCAGGATGATTCCTCCAATAAATAATCCAAAAAACGAAAGTGTTTGAAAAGTATTTTGTGCATAGAATGTAATTGGATTACTAATCGATAATTGTGACATAATTACGATAATAATATGAAAGAAAAAATGTGTTTGTAATTCACTTTTTGTATATTATTCTCATATAGATGGTATATGTCTACAATAAGAAAAAACAGTTTCTATCTCTTTTCTTTTCTATTAATACTAATAGGTCGCAATAATATCAACTGAATGGGCGCCTTTACAATAGAATAAAAATTAATATAGTTAATTGGAATTCAACAGCTGATATACTAAACGTCGACGTCTCAAGTTAATCGGACATTCTCAGACCAATGGATATGTTGTTGTTTCTCTCTTCAAGAAAGCACTTTTTAAAAGCATAGGCCTTTAGAGGCGATTTTAATTAAAGATATTTATCGCCTCTATTTTCGTTCGATGCCCATGTGGACATTTCGATACCCTCTACGATGTGAACACTCGTGGAATGTTTTTTGTACTATTTCGTGACACATTATTTTGCACGCGTGACCTCTTGTGCACAAATCGGTGAAGCGTGAACACTAGTTAATTTGGCGGTTTTTCATGATTTTGATTGTAAACACGTGTTAAAAATCCGTTCACGACAGTTTCACGTGTGAACACGCGCGAACTGATGGGTAAAAAATGTTTTTCTTGAACACCCGTTAATTTGACATTTTGTTCGTGCGTGTACTCGTACCGAAGCATTTTTACATGCGTGAACAAAACGACAAATTTTCTAGTACCCACCGAAAGCAGGACGTTTTTCAGTGGGTTTCACTGTTTGCTTTTGTATGATGTTTTTTTCTAATCGGAGGCTTCGGAGGCACTCAGAGTTACCAGCGTGATCTATGATAATCTAGTACTCATCGAGAGTACTAGCCTGCACTGTAAAAAAACAGAAGTGAGCCTATTAACACCGACACAAAGCTATTGGCATTACTATTAAAAAAACTTTGCTGGGAGTGTCAACAAATACACCATCTGACATATGAGCGACTCGACGTTTGAGCATTCCTCGAACTATACTTTGGCTCCCAAGATTCTGATTATATATTCGCATTTTGACGACATCTCGTTCATTGGGAAGGAGGAGGGCAGGTGGATAATGAGAGTGAGTGAAAAAGCTAACAGTCTAATAGAGGAAAATTGGTATTGATAGCCTTTGTGGGTGTCAGTAAGGAAGTAAGGGGCAGCCGAGTTCATAGAACTCTATACTGATAAAATTTTCAAGATTAGCAGAAAGAATTCAAGAATTAGTATCAAGTTTTTTCCAGTTGCTGAAAATTCAAAAATGCAGAATTAGCCAATAAAAATCAAGGTTTTTCTTAATTCAAGAATTCAAAAATAATAGATGATTTTTCTTGTGATCGTTCGTTTATCTATCGAGAACAAAAAGAAGTAGCATACATTCGAAGCGAAAACGTATTAGGAAAAATTGGGTCGTATCACGATTCAATATTAAATGAAAAAAAATTTCTGCAATATCCTACTTTATTTGAATGTGCATAATGTTAAAAATAAATTGCCTCTTTTGTTCGCTCTATTGTTCTCAATAATAATTTCAAAAAATTCACCTTTGCTACTCTAACAGCGGAAAAAATCAAAGACTCTTAATATCGCAGATAGGAAATTAAGCGTTCTTCTTCCATAAGCTGTACGCTCAAGCGTCATCGTCAACAGTTAGAAATGTTGTTATTCGTTATCATTTTTCAATGTACATCTGGTTGTGGTGACCTTGCACAAACTGTATCCACGATTTTACTACTACTTTTTTTCCACTAGTGGCTACGAGTGATGACATGAATTTACTTCATGTTTGCACGCGAAAGAAAGTGGTTCATCCGTGAAAAATAGTTATCATTTGAAAAAGTAGTGATTTATGCCATTAACACTATAAAAATGTTGTTACACTCGTGACCATGTAAAAGGATAATATCTCGCGCGTGTTTCCATATGAAAACGTAGTTACCACGATCGTTTCCGAGTCAACAAAATGTTTCATGTGTGATCATATAGAATCTCTTCCTGTTCACGCCTGTTTGCGTACATATGACTATCTTATACGCGTGTTCGCACGTAGAATTTTCAAAAACAATACTATTTTGCGGTGTACATACATGAGAAAATTTTCAACCCATCTTCACATCGTGGAGGACATCTGAATTTCCACATGTGTAGCTCTCACTTTTCTGACATTGAAAATATTTTTTTATGACGGTCATCAGATAAGCAAAGGAAGATGTATCTCAAAATGAATTCATACAGTAACTGGATTCTTTTTAGTAGGTGAAAACCATATTTATTCTTAAAGAAATCTTTTGTCATATAACTAAATATTTTTCACTCAGCTTCACTGGATTCGCTGGCCAGATCGTGCTGAACATTTCTAGAACGTGGTACCATCCTAACAAAGTCTTGTCAAGATGGTAAGCAAAAAAGGCGAATATTTTAACAAAAGCACACTTACGCTTAAACGTAAAAAACGTTTTTTGTTGGTTTTTATAAAAATGTATTTGTATTTGTGCACGAGTATCTGTATTCTTTTATCGAGACATACAAAACAGAAAGAAAATACAAAACAACCAAGAGTTTATAACACGCGTGTATGCGATGACTTTATAAAAAAAGAAAAAGACGTTGTTTCTATGGAGCCTTTCTGATAGTCAAAGAATCGAAACCTAACAAAATACGTCATGATATTAGCACACAGTTGACATAGAAGAACAGAAAAGAAAAAAAATCTTTTTCCTTTTTCTCTTCTTATTCTAAAAACTATTTATTTAAAGAACTACTCTCTCACTGGTCGACGTTCTTGTGGGTATTCTTGGAAGATTCTTGTCTCTTGCTATTTCAGACAAGAATCCTCAATTTTGTCTTGATAGATCGGTCAGACATGATTCTTCTTTTAATTTTTTACTGATTTTTCATCCTTTTTCGTTAAAGATTCTTGTCTGAAGTGGCAAGATTTGTTGACGACAAAATCACCAAGTTGTTTTGCCGATTCCCTTGCTATATATAAATTACATAATATAGCTCAATACTATACATATAGATGTCTTTAAAAAGTCTTTTAAATCTCATAAGATTCTTGTCGAGAGACAATCGAGTCTTTACATGTGCCTGACATCAGAGCGTCCAATATATATGAAAAGAAAAAGAAAAGAAGACGGAAAATGGACTATATTTATTTGCAAGATTCTTTTAAGAACTACAAGACAAGATTCTTGCAGGAATAAATGAGACAAGAATCTTGCAGGAAATCGCCTGATGCCTTAGCACTCCTCTGTGGTTAGGTTTGAGACTGTCAGAAATGAATGAAAACATAGGTTATCGACTATGCTGAATCTCGTGGCAATGTTAGTTTTCAGAATAAAATGCAAAAACCGAGCGAAAACCCATACTAGGTGAAATAACTCGTTTCTGATTATTTTCATCAAAAATTAAAAATTCATAACTCAATCAAAATCCAGCCAACATACTTCAGCATATCAGGACAGACTCTATTTTATCCGCTCATTCTGGTTCTGTACGTAAAATTAATTAAAAATAAGCTGATTAAAGAAATGGTGGCAAGAAATATCTTTCTGAACGTATTTTCTTCGACATGTGCTCGTGAACACGTTCGGACGCGTTCGTTATCTCTTGCCATTTAAAGCTGCAACGTCTCCTGAGATGAAAATGCGTCTGAACCCATTTTCTCTAAAATGACAGAAAACACGTTTGGACGCATTTTTCCTTATATGTTCATATGATACGCCCTTGGGTATACATGTGGTTTGGCACATACATATTATTCCGATGCGGCAGCTAATAATGAAGTAGCTACTGTTCTAATCATCGCAGCAAATATGTTAACCACTTGTAGGAAAACCAGATTATACAGAGGAATCATACTTGAAATTATCTGTTGACTCCACCTTATAATTATCAGAAATTTCCGACTATTGACCAGGTTTTTTACTTCGTCCGCATGAACCACTTTTGAAAGGTTCATGTTGGAGAGACCGAGCTGCTAAATTGATTCTAAGCTGCAAATAATCCGAAAATAATATTTTATCGTGTCTTAATCTTAAAATCATATCAAAACTAGTTGAAAGTTGAAAAATTAAAAGTCGCATTCCACACCAGTATGCTAGATCACTGTCAACCATTGAAACACCTTTTATCGCGTACATAACTGTACCACTAGTAGAACAATATTCTGCGAAAATTTTATTTAATTTGGATCTTGGGAAAAGATGAGAACCCGACTATACTAAAGTCCTTTTTCCGGAAAGCACTTACGAGGAGACATCACGAACTGCCACATCGATTTTTCGGCTAAACCTTATTCAGCGCAGATTATCAACTATGCTGAATCGGAATATCATAGTGGCAGCTGCTAAGGGTCTTCAGAGAACGATTTCTGGAAAACTAGTTTTTCAAGAACTCTAAAAATGACTCAAAACCATTTCTTAATGAGATATGATTGTAGCCCGCAAATTTCGGATTAAAATGAGACACCTGCCAGCTTTACATGACCTTTCTTTGCAAAGTTATACAATTTACAAGAAAAGCTCTGAATGTTCATTGTCAGCTCAAAGCTACAGAAATAAGAAGTTAATTTAGGACTTTTCCTGTCAATTGTATACGTTTGCAAAGAACGGTCGTGTAGAGCTGGAAGATGTCTCATTTTAATCAGAAATTTGCGGGCTACACTCATATCTGGTTAAGAAAGATCTTGGTTACTTTTTTTGGTTTTTTTTCACTAAAGCACTTGAGAAAAAATTTCCTATGCCGTTTAAATAGAGGGTAAGCTAAAGTATATGACCTGCTATTTGAATCACGAAAAAGTGCACTTTTGTTTTTTCATCTAATGTCCATGTGGTTGCCCACTGTGTGAAGCAAATATCTTTCTAAAATGAAAATGACTTTGGATGCCTGCAGTTGCAGACTTCTCTGCGTGAATTATCTTAAAATTTTATTCTTCATCAAAACTGAAAAGCTTTCCTCTTCAAAATGATTGTTTTCAAGAATACGCGTTGAATATATATATAAGTGATTCGGGTGATTTT